AAAGAGGGATAGAGAGAGACAGTGAGAGAAAAAGAGAGAGACATAGACAGAGAGAGAGAGAAGGAGAGAGACAGGGAAAAGAGAGTCAGAGAAAGAGAGGGAGACAGAGAAAGAAAGAGAGACAGACAAATATAAAGAGACAGGAATAGAGACAGAGACAGAGACAGATATAGAGAGAGTGACAGAGAGGGAGAGAGAGAGGGAGAGAGAGAGAGAGGAAGAATACAGTAGAGAAAGAGAGAAAAACTGAAAGAGAAAGAACGAAATAGATTGAGGAAGAGATAGAGATATAGAGAAAAGGATAGCGAAAAAGAAATAGAGAGAGAAAAAGAAATAGAGATAGACAGCAACAAAGATAGAGAGACAGCAAGAGAGTTAGAGAAAGAGAAATGGAAACATTGCAAGTAAGAGCACGTGACAGAGATAGGCTGCAACTGGAAAAGTTGTTTACACAAACAAGAACAGCAAAATGAGACGCCATGGAAAATGATCTTTTAGCGATTTCCATATGATACCACAAATATGTTCACCCCAGCCACAGCGCCAGGCCCAGCCCCAGCCACTTCCCTGGCGCATTCCTGGGAATTCGTCAAGATATGCAAACAATTCGATTGCAACGTAAATATCTCAATGGAAAACTTGGAACAATCAAAACAAACTGAGGGCCCAAGCTAATGCGTACGGGTTAACCCTAAGACACAACCTACCCCAAAATAAAAATAAAAATAAATAAGAGAAATAAAAGTGGAGCCGACCAGACAAAAGCAAACCAAACCAAGCCAAGCCAAACCAAATTCAAGGAAACCAAAACCAAAACAAAGTTATAGCTAAGCAAATAAGACAAAGGACATGGTTCCTGGAATGTAGCACCAAATTAACATAAATTCCGTTTTCCAAGCCGGAATCAAGCGGCGAGCAGGGAGAGCCACAGAGTGCTGAGACTCAAAGAAAGTTAAAGGTAAAAAAAAAAAAAAGCACAAAAACAGAAGAAAACGCAACAGTAAACAAGTTAAAATATTTCGTTTGCAACTGCTCGATTGGGCGCTACCCTGTAAACGTTTTAAAAGTGCAGCGACAAAAACTGCATCTAATTATGGATATATTGAAAGAATCTGGAAATATTTAAGTGAAACTGTCAAAATAAACTTGGGATTTCGGATAGCAATCAATCTATTGAACGCAGAATTCATTTAGTGATTTCCAACACTGGAGTTTTTACAATATTTCTTTGCACATTTTCATGGAAAAATGCCAAGGGAATTGTCAAAATTAATCAGATGCCACGCTAGTTTTAAACGATAAACTTGCACAGCTGGTGTTGAAAAATGCACTCATTTAGTGATTTCCAACACTGGATCTCTTATATTATTACCAGCCACATTTCAACAAATACCAAGTGAATAGTGAAGATTAAGAGTTTCTAGAACTTACGAAACTAAAGTTTTCTAGCTTTTTCTTCAGCTTTTGTAGTATTAGCGGAACATGTCTATATAGACTAAGTTTAGATTACCGATAAAAAATTTATAGATTTAGTGTACTCCAATATACAGATTTCACGAGTGGCATGCGTTCGCAATAGACCCGCTTTGTAGCTATTCAAAAAGTCTAGGGTATATCGGAACGAAGCATGTTGCAAAAAGTTCAACGACGCGAACGAAGAAGCAGCACCGCTTCCGCCGCCCCCGCCGCCGCAGAAGGGTGCGCGCAGTACTCGGAGTACTGCGTCAGGGGCAGCAACTACGGACGGAAGGCGAAGATGGGGGAGAGTGCTGTTGTGTCTATATCCATGTCTACCATGTCCATGTCCATGTCCTTGTCTATGTCTATGGCCTGCGCCTGTTGGCCGTGTGCCGCACTTATATTTTCCTATTCCCACAAGAAAAATCAATGGAATTGTTTGGTATATTGTTAGGTCTATGGGTAAATGGGGGTTGCGAGGGTGTGTGGGCGGCGTGGGGGGGCATGGGGGGGTGTCTGGCAGAATGCCTTTTCTCTTGATTTGTCTTTTCGCTATAGTGAGTTTTTCCTGCTCCTTTTCGCACTCGCTTTCGGCTTTTCTGCCTTTCTTTTCCCACTTTTTTTTTTTTTTTTTTTGGCCAAATGAGCGACGACATTGGCGACAAATGTTTCAAGTCCGTAGTTCCAGTATTGGCCGCCTCCCCCACCGCCCATCAAGCCCCTCCGCCGCGACCATACAGCGTCCATCTGCTGTGCAAATGCTGTTGACTCAGTTGACATACTTATTGATGGCACTGTGGTGCATGCAGCGCAGCCACGTGGGCGTGTGCTGTGTGGCAGGACGGAAGGGAGGTGTGGCGCGGATGTGCTGAGAGCGATGAGAGGATATTGCAAAATGCAACGAGGACAAATGGCAGCTGTTCAACTGCAGGCACTGTAAATAATACGATGTGACCCATCAAATCCAACAAATTCCCAATACTAACCGCGCCTCATCAGACCTTAAGGAACTCTGAGGAAAGAGTTAAAGCTGCAAACAGAACCGTTTTGAAGCCAGGAAGTGCAAGTTCTATATTATTGTTTACTATGGATTGAATATGGGGCAAAAAAAAGAGATCTACAATTCCACAACTAATCATGAAAAAGAACTTGACCATTGATATTACCCACAAAAATCAGTTAGGATTTAACCAAGTTCTGGCAGGTCTAAGTTTCGGCAGAGTCTTTACAAAGCTGTCGAGAATTTAACAAGTCCAAAAGTAATAGAGTACAAATCAACAATGAAATGGAAATAGTAAAATAAGAAACAACATATTATAGTTGATATAGATAGAGCGTATCTAGAGTGTACTGCAAATGGAAACTTCCAGCAAAACATTTAAGTAGCCCGTTTTAAAGGAAATCTTACAGAAATTATTTAACTTTAACATTTTGCCAGCTAAGCTGCATATAAGAAATATATTGCTAAATAATGTTATACAGCTGTTAAGTCTTAAATAACATTTTGTGCAAACTTCTCTGTTAAAAATTACAGTTTTATATTACAAAATCCCACATCTATGCAAAGGGATCAATTTGAAGCAAACTTGGATATAAAACTAAGGAATCAAATATGACTTGGCTCAAAATAAAAGTTAAATTCTATATACAGTATGTCAATAAAGTGTTTTTACTAACAAAAAAAAACTAATTTTTTGGGTTTAGTTGAAAATAAATGTACCTAAAAGTGAGAATTTTTTTTCAATTCTAATTTATTTCGATTCTATATTTTTCCTAGAACTTAATGGCAAAAAGAATTGTTAAATAACATTACCCAAACATTTTATAAAATTAAAAAACTAAAAACATTCAAATTTTATGCTGTCAATAAAGTGTTTTTACACGAAACTTTATTACTAAATAACAATGTTAAAAAAACAGGAATATTTTTTTTTAATACTTTGTGTGGCTGCCATTAGCGTCACATACAGCCTGCAATCGCCGTTTCATTGAAACAATAAGGTTTTGTATGTATGTTTCTGGAATCTTCTGCCATTCTTCCAGTACAGCAGCTTTTAAATCAGTTTTTGATTTTGGACTCCGCTTTGCGACTTTTTTTTTCAAATATGACCACACATTTTCTATTGGATTCATATCTGGACTTTGTGGTGGAGTGTCTAACACCTTTCCACAGTTGTACAACAGCCAAACTCTTACCATATGAGCTTTATGCTTCGGGTCATTGTCCTGGTAAAATTTAAAAATTGGCTTATTGTCCTCATAGAATCCAAATTTCTGTGCACTACTGACGAGATGTGTCTGTAAAATGCTCAGATATTGTCTAGCATCCATGGTATTCTCAATGAAGGTCAAATCTCCTACACCCTTGCTCGAAATACACCCCCACACCATCACTGATAGTTTTCCGAATTTAACGGTTGGAATAATATTGCGGTTTTCCAACGCTGTTAGTGGCTTTCTCCAGACTCTGGATGGCCCATCGTTGTAGAATAGCATCATCTTGCTTTCGTCACAGAATATGACGTTACTCCAAAAATCGTTCGAACTATTTACATGGACTTGAGCGAACGATAGCCGCTTCAAAATATTCGCCGCCGATAGTAGAGGTTTTTTCCTGGCAACTCGTGATGTGTAGTCATTGGAATTCAGTAATTTTCGGACAGTTTCATGTAACACATCAACACCACTTTCTTCCTTGAACTCCTGAGCAATATCCCTAAGCGAAATTTGTGGATTTTTCTCAATTTTTCTCAGAATTTTTCGCTTATCTCTGTCAGAAATTTTGCAGGGTCGACCACATACTGGCTTTGCCTCTAGCCTATCTTCCTTATTGGCTCTGTTTAATATGTTGTATATCGTTGCTTTTGATAAATTAAACATATCAGCCAGTTCCGAGACTTGACGTCCCATCTGATGGTTATAATACACCAGCTGAGCGACTTCAAAAGTTGTTCTTTTTCCTGGCATTTTATTTTTCATAAAATTAAAGCAAAACGTTATAAATTGCAATAGAAAATGACAAGAAAAGTCGAAGACACAAGAGAAGCCAAAACGCATGGGCCCAAATCTAACGGGATCACCCAAAAGAGAACGGCAAAACAATTTACCGTAGCTGTAAAAACACTTTATTGACAGCATAAAATGTGAATGTTTTTAGTTTTTTAATTTTATAAAATGTTTGGGTAATGTTATTTAACAATTCTTTTTGCCATTAAGTTCTAGGAGAAATATAGAATCGAAATAAATTATAATTGAAAAAAAATTCTCACTTTTAGGTACATTTATTTTCAACTAAACCCAAAAAATTAGTTTTTTTTTGTTAGTAAAAACACTTTATTGACATACTGTACATATATCTTTAATATAATGTCGTGATAACGACTACCTGGTGCGAATCTTTAAAAAATTCGCTAATTTATAAGTGGCTCAATTAAATACAAAAACATGCCAAAATATACACATACATATGCATATTTGCATATTTCCTCTCACAGCGATCAGAAACCGTTACAGCAACTAAGCAGAGCTACAAATTTACTTACCTCTTTCTCTGTTGGCAGCGTCCAATTCAGCAGCTGAGCTTATCACAGCAAACGACGCCGACAAGGAGATGTCGACGGCGGCAGCGGCGGCGACAGCAGAGTCCAAGTAAATGGATGGTCCACTGTAGCTGCTACATGGCCGCTGCAGCAGTTGGAGTAACAGTGGCGGCAGCAGCAGCAGCGGTAGCCAAGGAAATGTAACAGTAGGCGGCACACAAAATAAACTGTAGAAAATGTACTAAACGGCCGCATGGGAATTTCTTTGCATTTATCAAACGAGCCGCGGCCGGCGTCGCAGTCGGCGCAAACACGTGAGAGCGCCAAACTGCGCAGGCAAAAAATAAAAAAAAAAAAAAACAAACAAGAAAAACACAAAAAAAAAACTAGAGAAACACTTTTTTGCTTGATGCTGCTGTTGTTGTTGTTGTTGTGACTGTTACTGTTGTTGTTATTATTGCGCCAGTCGTCGTTGGCCAGGCGTCTCTCCGCAGCGCACAAAAAACGGTAAATTTGTATTTGGTCTTAGTTTGATTTGTACAATGGGCGTTTTACTGTAAATTTGCTTTGACTGCTTTTAAATAAATTTTAGATTTGCCAATGCGACACTTGTCAACTGGCAAACAGCTGTCGCTTCATGTAACTGTTGTTGCTGCTGCTGCTGCTGGTGCAGCTGTACTGCACTTGTTGTTGTTGCTGCTGCTGCTGCTGGTACTACTGTTACTGTTGCTGGAGACGCGCGCCGTTAATTTCGTTCGCTTAATTTCACAAGGCATCACAAAAACAAAAACAAACAAAACGCGTTTTATAAAAAGCCGTTACATATGGTATTTAGCATTAACAATAATTTTAACAAATAGTCAAAACGACGACAGACAACAACAAACACTGAGCGACGCGACCGCGACACGGACACAACTTGACGGCTGGTGAAAAACTGCTCTTTCCCAATAAGAAAGAGAGTACAACACGTCGAGGCAGCGGCAGCAACGTCGACGTCGCAGCTGTCACGCGCGCTGCTCGTTGGTGTTGTTGTTGTTAGTTGCGTTCTATGCTTTTGCTGTCGTTGTACAACTTTTTTTTGCACAACACAAACTGTGTGTGTGCGTGTGCGAGAGAGCGAGAGCGCCGTTGCTCTCATACTTGCTCAACAGTTGTTTGTATTAACAGCACGCTGTTAAGCAACAGAGCTTGGGCATGGCTATTAGGTAACATAACACAAATTGATTCAAATGTTAGAACGATTTACTGTTATTCCGTGGCGTTACATTTTGCCTGCACGAATTAATAATAACAATATAATTTAGAATACGTTAGGACCACAGATATGCATTTGTATATATTAAGTTAGCCTCGCAATTGATTATGAAACCTTCCCGTCAAAATTATTTTTTTGCTTTCGTAGTAGGTAGTGACAAAAACATCAAAATGAACGTTACAATATGTGGATCCCGTGTGCATAGCTAAAAAAAAGAATAAAAATTATTTTATTTTAAAACAATTAGTCCAGTCGGGAATGCCCGACCAGGAAATACCCTGAACTCAGCGTCCAGCTGCTGTTACAGACACTCTGTCTTCCCCTCACATTCACATTCACATTAGTCGTGTTCTATTCAAAATGTCTCCTTGGATAACTCGGGTGTTTGTTGTGCGATCTTTATGAAATTTTCAGGTCAGAAATATTGTTTCGAAATGCGAGCTCCAACAGAAGCGGAAGGCTCTATCGTCAATTTGTTTTAAAGCCCACTAATATCTTGTTGAGGTATACTAAACAATTCCAGCATTCCAAATTTACTGCCTTCAGCTTTTATTGGCTTCCAGATATGATCAAAAAACCAGGAAAAACCATATTGATTCTCATCGCTTCCATAGAAACGCGACAAGTTATTCATGATCTGAAGTATACTTGGTCTCCGCGGATAGGAGGACCTATGTATGGGAGATAGACAGACGAATCCAGACACGGCCGCCCTTCTGTTACATACTTTGCTCGAAACCATCATACCCTTTCTACTCATTTTAAATGGATGCTGGGTATACGAAAGACAAGCTTACTTACGGATCTCGCATCAGGAACCGCCTCTCTCGGCGTTTTTTGAATTTGAGCACAGGACCTTTGTGATTCGATCTTCTCGAAGCTCATCCTTAAGTCCCTCCTCTGGAGATAGCTTCTCCTTTGCTTGCATATTATACGAATCCTTGACTATAACCCCGCCAACAGAACCGGTGTATCTTGTCATATTGTTCACCGCCAACTTCACGATATCCCGGAGGGCCAGGACACGTACGGACTGCACCAATGTGCTGAATCGATTCCACTTAGACATTTTGCGTTTAAAAGCGATAAATTCCTTTCTCGAGGCAAAAAATTTTCTGACAAAAAAAAATGTAATAAAATTTTTTTGAACTGTTCTCGACTAGTGTTAAAATTGAACTCAACTTCTGTACAAAACATGGGCAGAATCTGGACCAGAAACAAAAGCATGCTTGGATTTTGGGCATGCCTTTTTGAGCCAAGAGGAAAGAAAAAATCTGATCAATTTTTATCGAGAAAAATATAGAGAAAGAGATAGAGAGAAAGAGAGAGAGTATCTTAGAAATCTAAAACATTTGTAGTGGGAAGAGTGAAAGAGTTTAAATCAAATAGAAAGCTAGGAAGAGAGCGCCCGACCGGGTATTTTAAGATTAAAGTTACAAATCTGTAATTTCCTAGAGAGAAAAGCGAGAAAGCGACAGCGTACGCTCTCACTCACTCAATTTTAGCCTTGGCCTCGCACAAATGGTCGGCTTTGGGTGCTTTGAAGGACTTCGCAGCCAACAGGACTGTGTGTCCTGGCAATGTCGTCTGGATGACAACAATTAACGGCATACCAATGTGTCTGGCCGCTTGCAGACTGACGGGAAATTTCAAAAATTTCAATTCACAAAAATTCACAAGAATGCGCCCATTCACACATATACTAGATGCGCTCTATGTACTCGCATGTCCTTTTGTCCTTATGGGCGAACCGTGCCGATGCCCGACCGGTCCAGGCAGGTGTGTGCTGCCCACCTGAACTCCTTCCGGGCAGCTTGTCTGCTCGGCAGTTGTAACTACTCGCAATTGGCAGGCCCGTTCTCTATCCAATGCTGCATTGGAGCCTTGTCAAGCTATCAAGTTTTTGATTACATCAATTAAATATCCTTTGGTCCTATGCAATCAACTTAATTGCTTTATACTTATCTGCTGCAATAAATTGTCAACCGCCGTCAGGTGGGTTCAACCCCTGAAGCCCATAAAGAGCCAGTCATACATATTAAATAGCATTCAACTAACATATCGAGGCCTTGAAAGCAATCCTTGCAAACCATTCATTGTCCTTGAATTGCCAACCTCAATGTGCGATTCGTGAAGCCATTAAATATTCATGTTTGTTTCTTAAATCGTGAACCAGTGAACCTAATGAACTGGCCAACTAACTAAGAACCCAAAACCATAAAAGTACACTAAAATCCAAACACAAAATATAAACGTATTGTATTTGAAAGAAAACAATCCAATATAAAACACAAATACAAATTTAAATTAATATTAAACGAAATAAAAAATCGAATCGAATCAAATCAAACCAAATACCCTAAGCAAAAAAAAAAAAATCAGCTAATTGATCAAAAAATCTGATTGTCTTCAAAGAGTTGATATTAAACAAGTAAGAGGTTCTAGTCGGGAGCTCCCGACTAGGGGATACCCTGAACCCTCTTCTTCCAATATCAAATGCATAAATATATTCTATTTTAGAAGCTATATGTCAAGTTTGGTGACTCTAGCTCTTATTATTTACCAAAATTGCCAAAAAAAAAAACAGGATATCGATATCGATTTTTATCGATTGCTTGGAAACGGAGTAAGTTATCGATTATCGGAAAACTAGGAGCATCTACATCTAAAATTTCAAGTCTCTAGCTCTTATAGGTTCTGATATCCTTGCATTTATACATACGGACGGACGGACGGACAGACAGACGGACATGGCTAGATCGACTCGACTATTGGTGCTGATCAAGAATATATATACTTTATGGGGTCGGAGATGCTTCCTTCTGCCTGTTACATACATTTGGATTTCGCACAAATACAATATACCCTTATACCTATTTTTAATGGGTTCAGGATATAAAAAGACACAATATTGATTTAAGCACAATTATTTTTGGTACGAAAGGAAACTTTTGATAATGCATAAGAATTTCGTAACCCAAGAAAATTCAAAAACTAAGTTCTCCAAGTGGGCATCTTTCGGTGGCATATGTAAGCCACAGCATGAGCAGGTCGCCAAATCTCGGCAGCTATAGGAATAGTGTCTGGGGCTGACCACAATTTGAGCAACTTATCCTTGCAATCCTTGCCAGCACAAGGCACATTATCCTTAAGAGCTTGTAAGACGCTGTGGCCATAACAAAGTTAAAAGCAACTAAAATAGACACCTGGGACATGGCCAAAAAGAGTGTGTCTGTGAGTGTGTGTGTGTGTGTGTGTGGGGGGGGGACTGGAACAGGTAGGCGACTGCAGCGAGACTCTGGAGTGGCTCTGGGAGTGGATAGCCGGGCTAAATAAGTGCAGCTCAGTTCAGCTCGTTGGCCAATCCAGTGCCACAAAATTTATTGACTTTGTCGTCCTCAACGTCCTTGGTTGTCCTACGCGTTGCTTGTCGCTGTCGTTGTACCCGTCCCTGCCCCACTCTCCGTGTCCGTGTCCGTGTCCGTCTCTCGACTAGAGTGCTTGACAGGCTGTGGCAGGCTGCCGCTTACGAGCCTGTCTTAATAATTTGGCATCTTGCTAAATTAAAACTAAAGTCCGGCCACATAAATCTTCAGGCCCAGCCGCATGATGAGCATCTACTTTGGCCGGGCTATTTGGCTGCTCATGATGTTCATGATGTTACCCTGTAACCATTGAAAACGCGTAAAATGGGTAGCATGATTTTGTGCATGCATCGAACGACAGCTTGACAATCAATAGTCGATCCAGGCAAGTTCCTCTTCATTTTCTTCCGTATGTCCAGCCTTCTAATAATATGCACATTCCCGTTTCCCAATAAATATTGCAAAAGCCACATAATGAGAGCTAGAATCTTGTAAAAATTGCATTTCCCTATATAAAAATGGAGAAGAAGAATCGCCATAAAAGGCGCCGCTATAAAGATGAGTGCCAGCGCATATGTGTGTGTGTGCGAATGAGTACAGGGTATCGCCTAGTCGGACACACCCTACTGTTGCTGTTGCTGTTGCATACATGTATCTTAGCTGTGCTGTTAGCATTTACAACTTGGCCCGTTTGCTGGCATTTATGTCCTTGTTTATGAGCACGTGTAATCACTGGCCAAACGGCCATGCTCCA